CGTTAGCCCTTCTTTAAGTGTCCCTTCAGCTCAGTCAAGCCGAAGCATATGCCTTCGGCTTGGCTGAACTGAAGGGCTCCGGCGGCCGAAGAGAGCTGAAGGATCAGCTGGAGCTATGGCTGGATCCTTCGGCTCCTTTGTGAATAGACCCCTATATATTTTTAATAACTTATATTTTAATTATGAAAGCCCTTTTTCATAATTTAGCATTTTCTGATGATTTTCAGATCATTTGTTATGTTTTTAGTTAAAAAAAGTAAAATTTTTGGGCCATACAAACATGACACATTTCATATGAAAATGTCATATTTATATATACAGGAAGGAAAGGGCCTTTACACATCATTACCAGGCCTAACTGCTCAAGTTTCAATTTAGACAGATTCCATTAGAGAAAGACAGCCCAAAGTAAACAGCTCCTATGGTGCTCTCTAATTAGAAAATCTCCTTAGCAAATACATAATTTTATGTGATACCATTGTCATTGGTACACCTTCTATAAAGTTTATATAAAAAATAAAAATGTTCTATTTTTTTTAGGCGTAAAAGTATAATACTGTCCATTGACCCCAAACCATGTAGTCTTCCTTTAAGCTGAATGCAGCACATAAGCATTAAAGTGACACTAAACGGAGGAGTTTAATCTCAAAAATGCATTACCTTCACTATTACCAAAAATGTATCTTATTTGTGTATCACTCGGATGTAGATCCTCTCATCATCTCTGAATTTGCGGTGACACTGCCCTTCCTTCTGGAGGGTGGCTACGTTTGTTCCCTATGGTCCCTGTGTGCGTTTTTAATGTAGCCACCAATCCAAGCTCAATCCCGTGATGGACTACAATCTCAATACAAATTGGTAAACTATATGTAACTTTGTAGTTCATCATAGGATTGAGTTTGGAGTGGTGGCTACTTTAGAACACACACAGGGACCATGGGGAACAAAAGTAGCCCCCCTCCAGAAGGAAGGATGGTGTCACTACAAATTCAAAGATGATTTGAAGATCAGTGCTGAACAAATAAGTGATACACAAACAAGGTATATTTTTGTTACTAGTTAGGGTACTCAAATGCATATTTAAGATTGTACTCCTGAGTTTAGTGTCACTTCAAACAAACTGTGGGCTTCTTTGTAGCAAGTTGCCAGGAATGTTGCCTGGAAATTGTAGACTCGTATTGCAATCCCTTCCATAAACACCCTTTCCTGAGGTATCCCTACCCTCCAGGGCAAAATTTGAGTATGGAGCCATATTTAGAAACCGCAAACGTGTGCTAAGTTCTGTGTGCTGTGTTCAGTCTTGATAATTCTGAATAATAATGAGTTATATTTTTTAAAAGGACAAGTTTACAAATAGAAGTATGTTGAGAAATATGACTGGTAGTTATTTTTATGTATCATTTTGTTGTTGTTTTTATGCATAAATTGAGATTTCCAACAAGCACTTAAATTAGATTGTAAGGGCACTGACTTAAATCTGATGTAATAAGGAAACATTAATAACTATTTATTACTGTCATAGTTCCTGTTAAAGTATATGTTTTAATGAAAGGAACAGCTGGCACGCATATGGAAAATATTGTCTCACAGTACGGTTCAATAATAAAAATTAAAATTTTAGTCTGGATAATTATATCACATGCTGATTTTTCTATGAAGTACAGCACTCAAAGAGAGTTGAAGAGTACAAATACAATAAATATAACTGTGTCCATTCAGATTAAAATAATCATTCCAAAATTACATTTATTTTCACACAGAGAATCATCTAACTAGAACAGAATAGAAATAAAAGGAAAATAACCTCTTTCAGTCATCTGGTTTATGATTTAATATTGCGCATTATTCCGAAAAATAAATAAAATTACCATGAAGTCAACTTGCAAGCAGAAACAGCAGCTTTCCCCTCAAGGAAGGGAATAAATATAATTAGCCCTTGACACTAAATTCTTAAATCGTTCAAGGACTGCTGAAGATAGTTCTCAGCTTCTCCTGTCTGTTCAACCATTACAAAGGAATAAAACTCACTGGAAGGTAGATATTGCTACTGGTGTCTCTGATTGGTTTAAGAAGCCGGATAGTATCTACTCATAACCAAAATATCTGCATTGGGTAGACTGACTCTTTAGTGAATTATGTGGCCAGTCCCACAGTTAACAGCTCATTGTCTGTCACACCCCTCAAAAGCTTTGTGGCCAATAAATATCTATACAAAACTTAACATATCAAAGAAGAGAAACTGATGGATTTATTAAAGGGGTGGTCCTAATTTTTGACTTTTTAATCCAGAGTGATAAAAGGAATCTTTTCTCTAATATTTAGCAGCAAAGTGTATTTGAGCTTGTTTTAGTTATGTATTTTTTTAAACCTAATCTATTTTTAATTGTTTCTTAATTATGGATTATACATTTTCAGTGCAAAACATATGCCTGTGTTATTGACAGCCATCTAATGGGCCTTACCATTGACTTTGGTATGGGATTCATCTGCTTTGATGCTGCAACCAAGGTAAACCACTGCATTAATATTGCTAAGGATTCACAACAATGCAGATTATTGATTTATTTATTTTTCTATAACTTTTGCATATTCATAGTTATCATAAACACAGTTTAAAGTAAACTTATCAGTCATTTTAATCCTTTAAACTTGAAAGACCTACTTAAAGTGGACCTGTACTCCCTTTCACTAAAAATGACATCAGCATGCAGCTCTGCATGCTGATTTAAAAACATCTTACATTCATTAGCTAAACAAACTTGTTTTTAATTTACTTACAAATAAAGTTCATCTACTTCCTGGTCCACTTCTAGCACACATGATGTAATGTGCCAAAGCTTTGCATCCTGGGAAGGTTACATCAGTAGAGCATTGCTGGGAAATCTCATCTGTAATCTGATGAGATCACAGGAAAAGGCATATTCCTCCCCTGACATGATGTGCATGGTCACTTGTCCTAGTCACATGTGTCAGAGTTCCAGGAAGTAATGGGAGATCTAGTAACCTGCCCTTTGTTTACTTGGCCACTGTCAGAAGACTGGGAAAGAAAAAAGAAATAAGGTATATAAAAAATACAAAGCCTGCAATTATCTAGAAGTATGTGTTTGTAGATTGTCATTACTAAACATTTCTAACATTTCTGTTTGTTGTTATTTTAAAGATATAGGTAAAGTTCCTCTTTAAGAGCAGACAATGTATGACATAGTTCAGTAGGTAGATAGAGTTTAGACCTTTCAAGGGAAGTTCAGTTCTTAGTAATAAAGTGAAACAGATTTTAGAAGAAGACACCGAGGAGTGTTTTCTGGTAAATAAAGGTATTATCAGGTGTTATTCCATGTCTGCATTTAAACAAGACTTTTAAGGGCTCGGTCACAGTAACTGCATGGTAAAACATTGCATTTAGCTGTGCATTTATTGTCGAATGGGTGGCAGCAGTGAGATGTGGTAACGTGGGTTGTTTCAATGCAAGTGAATCTTTACTTTTTTTTTTCTTAACTTCATTTGGACTGTACAAAGTGTACACTCTATTCATGTCTCTGCATAGTAGTGATTTACATTGTGCTGCGGTGCGTTGACATCCGGTGGCATTGAGGGCACTGCAGAAAAATGCTGTATTTCTGCATTGTACCGCAGCCCACCGCACATCACACCTGTGTTTTAATGTGAACAAGTGACTGGCGGTGTGGAAAAACACCAGTTACCGCCGTATGTGTGATCGGGTCCTGAATGTTAATTTGAAGTGTGATTTTAAGTGTGACATTTTATATAGGACATTGTTTAGTCCGAACACTATGTAAAACGTTCAAAACTGTTGTTGTTAGTGAAAAGTCTCTAGTTGATGCTTTTGTACACATTCTAAGAAACTAAAACAGTTGTGAATGATACTTGTAAAAATAATCATATAGTGCTGTAGATGTTATGAAGTTTTTCTCACTCTGTAAAACTGCCATACAACTTACTGCACACCTCTTTCCTGATCGCTGAGCTCACTGCTCCATGTTTGATGTTTTATTTCTAAGGCTATACTATGGAGGTATAAATTTTCTCAGTTGAAAGGCTCTTCAGATGATGGGAAAAGTAAAATCAAGTTTCTGTTCCAGAATCAGGATACAAAACAAATTGAAGCAAAGGTAATTACAAACAAGCTTTTGTTCCTGTAGACTAAAATGCAGTAATAATGTAAACAGTCTGATTGTACTTTAGTGAAACACTACTAAATAAGATGAAAATTGTAACAATTAGTGTAATAATTACAACAAAACTACATTGCATTTTCAAAAATCAATAAACAAAGTACAGAACTAATTATTGGTATCTATCAAATCTACCCACTCTATCAATCAAAAGTGTGCAACTCTTGGCTTTCTATCTAGTTATATAGATGGGTAAGTAAAAGATGGACTAGGTAGATAGATACCCATAATTAGTGCTGCAATTAGCTGATATATAGTATATAATATATACTGTATCTATATCGTTCTGCAGAAGGACAACCCAATCTATCACAGTTTTCTTTTTGCCCTACTCAGTTAATGAGCAGCCTGAGAATAACTTAAAGCTGAACTCCAGCCGTACCTTTTTTTCCCACATGTGTAGCAAGTTGTCTCCTATGTTGAAACTGATGACTCTTAATTCCCAGCAAACTTGCATCTCCACAATATAACTTTTGGAAGCTGCAGCAGCTATTTTGCTCCCACCTTTATTTCCTGTCTCAATGACCTCCATCATTTATCATTCACTTCCCCCCCTGTCCATACAGTTGTTGGCCCCCCTCTCACAGCTATTCTCTACCATCAATCATTTTGTTCCGGAGCACTTTGTGAAAGAACATATCAATGGCATCCTTTTAGATGAGCCTGCAACCAGTCACAGCTAACATTTGCAGCACCCAGTGGCCATCAAGGAAAAGCCGGCTCATTCAAAGGGATCCTCGGAACATGTTCTTATATATATTGCTTTTGAAAACGATCAGAGGGAGAAATTTGTGATGCTTATAGGAGCCTGCCAGCCCTTCCCACCACACTCAGAGCGAATAACAGCAGACAGACCCAGTGTTGATGTCACCCTGTCTCCAAAAATATATTTTTTGAAAAACTAAACAAATTTCATAGCAAACAATTTAATTGCATGTTGATTGAGAGGGGCAAGGTAAGTTATTATATGCGTACACTACACAGCTTTAAAGCAACTAGGTGGTCATTGTGTCAGGAAAAAAAATTATGGAAAATCTAAATATTTAGAGTTGTTACTAATAGGTGAAGGAGAAGCCTTCTAATGGAGACACCAATTCTGGTGACATCTGTCTATAAGGGAATGTCTCCGCTCTTTAAAAGATATTTCCTCTTATTTCCTAATATGTCCCTGGGATAGCAAACATACAACTAAAAAACATTGCTTCCTGTATCATAAAAATAATGTAGGCTTTACATAATCCCTATAGGGGCCGTAACTTCTTATTACACGGACTTAATTCTTAATTCTTATTACATAGATTTTGCAGCATGTTGAAAAATTATTGGTGTGCAGTCACAGATTATTCCCTTATCTACAGAGGGAGCTGTAAATGCTGCATTTGCCCATCAGCCTAATCAGGAAAAACATTCCTGGTCCGGGGTCCCAGTGGTGCCCAAAGCGGAACTCCAGGAAAAGCAAATATTGTCTAAATACAACAGGCATGTATATTCTTATTTGAATCTTGTTGAGGTTTGTGTATTTCTTCAGAGATATGTGCAGTAATCCTCCATGAAACTTTTATGTTCTGCAGGAGCATCATGTAATAAAGACCAGTCACCACTGTTCTCTTTCCTTGTGCAGGGTGACTGGTCTTGTATCTGCCCCCTTTAGTTTTTTCACAGGCAGTCTGAAATGGGTGGGGACTGTTGGAGACTTCCCACTGCTCTTCTCTCTGCATAGGCTATGTGAAGCACAGCAATGATGTAACTACTAAGTTTACAAAGTAATATCTAGGTTTGCAGAGCATTGCTTCTCACAAAGTGGATTTATGTGCATTGCGGCTATTGAATAATATATTGGAATGAAAGTTTTTGCATCTGGAGTTCAGCTTTAATTGTTATCTTGTCAGTTTGACATCTATCTGCACATGTGTGGCTAGCTTTAATACAGATGTGGACAAATGTGTTGGTACCCTTCCACAAAATAAGAAAAAAAACACATTTTCTTGGAAACAACTTGAAACTGACCAAAATATCCAGCATTCATCAATGTTCATTTCATATTAAATTAAAAAAATAGCTTTGCTTCAGATTTTTGATTCAACAGAATTGTTAAAATAATAAAACAAATAAAAATGTCATTGACAAAAATATTGTGATCCATAAACCAATTTTTTTTTTCCACAACCTTTACAGGCAATCACTGTAAACAAGCAATTTCTGTAGCTTTCAATGAGACTTTTGCCCCTGCTAACAGGAAGTTTGGCCCACTCTTCTTTACCAAACTGCTTCAGTTGTACCGGGTTTGAAGGTAGCCTTTTCCAAAATGCATGTTTTAGCAGTTTCCATTGATTATCAACAAGATCCAGGTCAGGGCTTTATAAAGTCCAAAGTTATAATAGGGATTCTTGGATGCTTTTAGCTATGTGGTGTAGGTGATTATCCTGTTGGAGGAACCTTGACCTGTGACCGAGACGGAGCTTTCTGACACAGTATGGCAGTATGTTTCGCTCCAGAAATCCTTGATAGCCTTGAGATTTCATTTTGCCCTGTGCAGATTCAAGAGACAGCATTCCAAATGCACCAAAAAAGCCACAAAACATATCTGAGCCTCCTCCATGTTTCCCAGTAAGTATGGCGTCCTTTTCTTTGCTTTCTTTGAAAGCTTCATTTTTTATCTGTGAACATAGAGCTGATGTGAGTTGCCAAAAAGCTCCAGTTGTGTCTCAATTGTCCAAAGGATATTCTCTGGGAAGCACTGTGACTTGTCAATGTGCATTTTATCAAATTCCAGTCAGGATTATTTATGTTTTTCTTTCAACAGCAGAGTCTTCCTTTGAGCCCACTGTTGCTCAAAAAGCGATGAATGGTGTGCTCAAGGAAGAGGATAAGGATCACCAGCACTCAGCAATATCATTCAATATGTCCATTTTAATCGGACAAAGTCCCAGTGAAAACAGCCAATATTCTGGGGCCACGCAGGGTCCCTTCATCAGGGCAAAAAGATGTGACAACAAGTACATGTGAAAGAAACCACATATATACCCTTAGTGATACTTGGCAGTTTACCAATTCATTCAAAGTACCGCCCCGTGACGTCATCATGGACGTCGCCATGTTTAAACAAGCAATGTAAACAATAAATATGATATATAAAAGCTAAAAACAATAATGTACCTTGACCTTGGTTTGTTTTTTTTCTCTTTGGAGGTTTTCCTTGTTTTTTTGTTTATCATTTGCACTATCCATGTTGAATATGGGGTTGATTTTTTTTGTAACCCCATCCAGTGAAGTTGGCTGCATTCCCATGAACCTTAAACTTCTTAATATTTGCATCTGTAGTCACAGGAACATCAAGCTGCCTGAAGATGGCCTTATAGGCCTTACCTTTTGGCATGCTGGTCTTCAATTTTCGTTGTGATCTCCTCAGACAACTCCCTCATTGACTTTCTCTAGTCCATGTTGATTGTGGTGCACACAATGATACCATACAGCAGAGTGACTACTTTTCTCCTTTTAAATAGGCTGAATGACTTATTACAAGATTAAAGACATGTAATAATAATTACAGAAAACAGTTTGAAACCTCACTTATTCCAATTATTTATAATCTTTTATAGGGCTACCAACAAATCTGTCTGGTCTATTTTAGAATATCTTTTTAGAAAGAGCAACAATTAATCCCTTTTTACGCTTTCTTTGCTTTACTCAATGACATTCTAATGGTGTGCAGGTATAAATGAGACAAATGTTTTTAATGCCATCACTTTTAAGGAGCAATGAAGCATTTTTTGAATGAGCTGTAAGGTTAGCAACAAATTTGTCCATATTTGTACTAGCAATATAGACTAAATATATGAACAGACAGTTGATTTTTAAATATAAAAATGGTTAAAAAAATCTCTTTGAGCTCTATGTATATTTGGAAATATAATGTGCTATGTGTTGACAATTTCTCTCTCTACAGGAACTGGAATTCTCCAACCTTTTTGCAGTCCTCCATTGCATTCATTCATTCTTTGCTGCTAAAGTCGCTTGCTTGGACCCTCTATTTGTTGATAGTCAGGGAGCTGCCTCTTCATCTGTATCAACTTCTGGTGCCACAGCGAGTGTTTGTAAAATGAAATATTCAACTTAACCCATCCAAATAGGAATGCACTTACCTACTAAAAATACACAAACTGTGAGCGAATATTTATGGAGTGGTGGATCTGGGACTCTAGCTCAGGAGACCTGAATAGCTACTCATTTATTTTTATGCAGAAGAAAAAGCATCTTATGGATTAATGACAGTTACTTATTGTTCAGCCTCGAAGATACCGCTTGCACACAGCAGCTGGAAAAGCAAAGGTCTGTGTTCATGACAAATACCCAGGAAATCAAGGACATGTTTTTATTATTTTCTGTGTTTTAATGTTAGTGTACAAATATAAAAAATAAAACAATTAAAAATGGCTACATGAATATGGCACTTATCTTTTAAGATTGCATTATGAAAGTGCCAAAAAGGAAAAGGATCTTGATTATTTTTTTCTGGACAGAATACATGTTGTTAAAGTAACAAATGAAAAAAAGGCTTTTTATACAGCAAACCATAGTAACCCAGCAATCAGAAAAACCTAGGAAATGTGCTAAGAAGCCTGTCACATGGGGTGTTATAAAGAAGCAGATATCTCCTATTATTTATTTATTTTGTAGAACACCTTTTTATGAGCCTTTTGAGGTAAGATGTATTTTCCACAAAATGCTAAATCTGTTATAATAGCATTATTCATTCTTAAGCTTGCATTGTTTTTCTGCATAACTTTCTACTTGTCTTTCATGTATCACTTCACATGAAAGCCATGTAGGTACTTGATAAAGTGAGCAGTGTTCCACTGATATTTATAGGATGTTGCAGTAGCTGTAAGCTGCATACAGAGTCTGTCTTGGCTGAATCTATGTAGATTATCTATACAAAGAGAAGAACTGGTTGATCACATGGGCTCCTTTCATCAAAGAATGCATTTCAGCATTGTTCTCTTTGTAGTTTTTTTTTCTTTGAAAAAAAAATGTAATCTATCATAGAGTTAAATATTTGGAATTCATTTTTGCTGGCACAATTGGGGATGGAAGACATTTTTATCCTTCTCTATCCTGTCAATAATAAAAATCAGATATTTGATGAGATTGGACAGCCCTTACCTTTCCAGTGACTTCACAAAGCTTTTATCTTGATTATACTTTTGTGATAACAGAACTAAAGCTTTAAAGGCTGGAATTATGTTAATTTTATCACTAATCTAATTTTTGCTCATGCATCTATTACCAAAAGGGTATAGCATTAAAGCTGAACTCCAGGGAGGCATAAAAGACGCATACTAATCCAGCTCTGTATTCAATAATTAACCAATTACCTGAATTTGATTTGGTATCAGTCTCTTGCAGTCCTCTGTATACCAGGGTAGGGAGGAACTGCGAGCCAACCAGGTTAGCTGCATGCAACTGTATTGACAAATAACATGCTGATATGAGGAGAGGGCAGATGTGCAGACAGATGACCTCAGAAGGATGGGCTAAGAGAGTGGAGAACATTGTATTTCTTAACTGTAAATGGTGTGATCCACCTGAGTGTCTTGTACGGTTGTGTTAATCCGCCAATTTGATGGACAGAAATACAAATCCTATTATATGTATTTCATCTGTGTACTTAGCTGTTTGCCTGGAGCTTAGCTTTAATTATGATTTATAATTCAGATTTGGAAAGATAATAGGGTTGATTCACTAAAGACATAGAAGCAATTCACTTTACAAGAGAATTTTCAATCTGCAAGAAATGTTTCTCTTAGCTTAATGAATGTGGTGATAATTCACTTTGCAAAGAATCCCCATTGACATTCAAGGGAATTAATAAAAAAAACTGTATTTTTGCTTGCAAGTGAAGGGATGATGGAAGTCAGCAGTGCGTCACCTAATTCACTAAACTAAGGAAGTGAACAATATGTTTGCCTTTAGTAAATTAACACCAATATATTTTGAAAGATGAAAGTCTAAAAATAATGTTTCATGTACTGCAACTGCAACATTTTCCTCTCTGTGAAGTTTTTGTTTTATTTTTATCTGATCTTCGCTCCTGTAAACCTGTGGCTGATAGTAATACAGCCTTGATATGCTCAGAGCGCCAACCCTCCGTTTTCTAGTCCAAAGCCCACTGTATAAACTCTGGGAGGCTACCCAGATCAACCCAGATCCCTATGTAAAAATACATTTAATGGCTTTCTAAAGCAGTGGTTCTCAACCTTAGTGAGACCAGGGATCAGTAAAAATTCTCCCAAAACCTTACATGCCCCAAAAGTAAAAAAAAGTTTATACTCCTACACTAAAAGTATGGGAATACAAAATATTTACTAAAAAGGGGTAATACCTTTCCTCAGTAATCCACAGTCCCCACACCAGCAGCATACATTTAACCTTTAATTACCCATTACAACTTGCCTGCTCAAGTTTTAAGATGCTAGCAACTTCAGGAATGCTTCTGTGCAGGCTGCCACTGGAAGAAGGGGCGGTATTACTTGTAGTGGCTAGTGAAGCCTATGGGCATCCCTCCCAGCATCAGAAGTTGAGAAAGAAGGACAAACCAGAAAGGAGAAAATCTGCGGTGTGCAGAGTGTGTCGCAGCAAAAAGTGGGTGTGGCTAAATTGCACTGGCAGGAGGAAGAATGCCTCAATGATTGGTGGGAGTAAGAAAGTCCCAGCGATTGGTGGTAGGAAGAATGTCCCGCCATTAGTGGTTATTGAGAGGAAAATCATTGCTGCCAGTGGGAGAAATGCAATCAGTATGATAATGAAGACTGCAGAGCTGACATAGTATTAACAAAGAGAGAAGAGCCTGACTGTTGCTGGATTACAGGAGCTGGTGTAGAGGATCAGAAGCCTAAAGACCAGCAGACCAGACTTACTTGTGCAGTAATCTAATGCTGGCACACAGACAGGAGGAACGGGATTATGAACACAGGGAGAAGAGTAGCCTCAATCCACAGCCCTTGTTCCCACCAACCTTTCATTACAAGAGAGCATTGGAGTTGAGTGTCGTGTCCTGCCCTGACTGAGTGCACTTGAATTGCTCTTAACTTTGTTGATAGGTAGAGGCTCAAATTAATCTGTAGAATATGGCCACGTGATCAGTTGTTTTTATCTGGGGCTATTACACTGCCGGCAATGGTTCGCTGTCAGGTGCTAAAATGAGTGACAGTATTTATCACACATACAAGCTGTCAGTGTCAATCCATGCCCCAGAAGGAGGGAGGGCATTGGGGAGCAAACAGTCTGCGTTCAGGTACGGTCATCCGCAGGTATTCGCAATAGCGATTACATGTGAATGGCCAGTGAGATTATGAGACTCATGCAATCAGTATTGATGGGCCAAACACCCTTTGATCGATTCGAATTCGAATGTTAGAACATGAAAAAGTTTGAACTCAAACTTAATGCAAGTCTATGGTGCTAGAACTTTGAAATTAAATTGACCCCGTTTTGAAGGCTTAAATGCACGTTATTGGCCATAAAAAAGGGTATGGGGATTTGGGTACTGCCCTGGGGGACATGTATCAATAAAAAAAACACTTTTAAAAAATATGTGAAACAATAAAAATGAAAAAATTATTTAAATGTCATGCCTGGGGGGTCCCCTTGAACTGCCTGTAAAGTGGCGAATCTGTACAATATATAGAACCTGCTGCAGCAAAAATGACATTTTATAAAGAAAAAAATGACATTTAAACAGACAAAAAAAAAGCGTGCGGTTCCCCCTCCCAAACAACACCAGACCCTTTAGGCCTGGTAAGAATGTTAGGCGGGACCCTATTAAAAAGAAAAAAAGTTTGGGGTTCCCCCCAAAAGTCAATCCAGACCCTTAAGGTCTAATGGGAATGTTTTGGAGGAACCCCATGTAAAAAAAACAAAAACAAAAACACGTGGGGTTACCCCTAAAACTCCTACCAGGCTCTTAAGGTCTGGTAGGAATTTTAAGGAGGAACCCCGCCCCCAAAAATGGGGGGGGCACGTGGGGTCCCCCTAAAATTCCATACCAGACCCTTGATCCGAGCACAGGCCTGGCAGGGCAGGAAAGGGGGGATTTAGCGAGTGGCCCCTCCCCTCCTTCCCATACCAGGCCACATGCCCTTGGCACTGGGAGGGTTCTTTTCCGGGGTCAGACTTGAAAAAGCACCTTGTCCCCATGCCGATGGGCACAAGGGCCTCTTCCCCACATGCCCTGGGGCTTTAATATAGAGGCAGCCAGATGCACCTTCCCCCCTTGTGAATGAGTAAGGGGTACTTGTACCCCTAACCATTCACTAAAGGGTTAAATCAAATTTGTAAAAAAGAGGCCAGACTTTTGAAAAAATCCTTAAATTGAAAAAAACAAAAGACAAGTTTTTTATTAAAATAAAAATGGATCCACCAATGTAATCCAGGGTCAATCATGACATCCAGTGTTGTTCATGACAATGACTTGATGAAATAAAAAATAAAACAAGAAAAGATAAATAGAAATAATAAAAAGAAACGGATGCCCGCGGACCTGTCCACTCGCAACGAACTCCCGCTGCAGAATGGCATTTTGACAGATGGCGGCAACATAAACAATTGGGCGGAACTAGCGTTGACAGCTAGCTCCACCCAACTGTTTACAGTTGTACAGCATCTGACAGGTGAGCCATGATTGGGCAAAGTCATCATGACTTTGCCCAATCATGGCTCTTACAGAGTACTGTGCCCTGATTGGGCAAAGTCTTGCACCTAACCTGTGGTCAGGGGCAAGGCTTTAGTCAATCAGGGCTCACAAGGCACTGTGCAGGCACAGTGCCTTGTGGGGCGCTCGGCGGGCAAACAGTCCGCCAAACGCCATGACAGTTTGTGTGTTCGCCGAACACACAAACTGCCAATGTTCGAGTCGAACTCATGCTTGACCTAAACATCAAGCCCATCCTTAGTAATCAGCCCTTTTGGCAAGTGTGCATGGGGCCAAATATTGTGTAAGTCACTGACCTGTTATACAGGCACAAAATCAGATGACTTAATTCTGACATCACTGGCTCCATGTTTCTTCTGGGTTATTGGCAAGGTTTTTAAAATATGAGACAGCCAGGCCACTGGGATTTTCAGAAAAAGGTATGTAATGTCAGCTACCATATTTCATTTCACATTGAGTTTGAATGTGCCACCCTAACTCAACCACCTAAATGTTTTAAGCACATTTGTTTATGAATATGATCATTCACATTGTATAGAAATGCTTGTTTCTGCATGCACCAGATACCACTGGTGCCAGTATCATCTTTAATAAAGGCCATTTTGGTCTGGGTAAAACCAGCCTATAGGCATTTCCACTGTGA